AGTGGAAAAGCTATAGAGTGCTATTGTTATTGTAAAAGCCATTGAGGAACTTTGTTCAAGGTCAAGTGGACCATGAGGAGATTTCTTTGGAGACACTGAGATTTGTTGTGAGCTTGCGTCAGTGGTGACTAAAGTTTAGCAGTAGGCTTAACTTGGTTTGGTAGTAGATTGTGTTGTTCAGAAATCACTCCTTTGTAGCTAAGATTACATTACATATTGTTAAATAAATAAGTTGGGTTCATAGAAGAGTTTCGTAGTATATCTTTCTGTCGGTCAAGCAATACCATAACAAATTTGACTTCTAATATATGAAAATATAACTGTGACACAGTGATAAAGTTTCATGACCGTAACTATGTTTACCTTGTTTTATACCAGGTTTTGCTGGATTTAGATTTTTCAAAGTTGGTAGTTATTAGCCCAAACAACTGTTCATTACTCTCTGATTATTACCAAGGAATCATGACTTAAAACTGTATTTTTGTCTTCTTTCATCAATGTTATAGATTTTATTCATAGCGGATGGGGGATCAAACCAAGACCATTTAGGATTCCAGTATGGATTCACTTCAGAGGACATAATTTTCTTGACGCCCAGGTATTAAGTACTGCTATTTGCTTTCACAGGGGTTTTAAAATACAAATCTTGAAATTCTCTAAAAGCTTTTACCCCTTTAGCTTTGGTAGCATTAATTTATATTGGAAGATTAGGCAAAGAAATATTTCACTGAATGTAACAATACCAGTATGATCAATATATTATTTCAATTAAAAATATATTTTTGGTCCCATAGTAATAATAATAATTATTATGTATGAATTATGAATTATGATATAATTATACAGATACAATTATTATACAGTATCATGACAGTGTCAGATCTAAAGATTCACAAACATTTGTGAAGTTTCATACCCTTAAAGAAATTTGATGGGAAAATATTGCCACTTAATACTAATTTGAAAGACGCAGTTTAATCATGATAAATACAGTTATTGATGTTTTGTTATTTTCTTTTATATTGACTGGTAAAGGCAGTTTATCATGCCAGGACTGATTGATACTCATATCCATGCACCACAGTATGCCTTCACTGGCACAGGCTATGATGGTTCTGTTGTTGAGTGGTTAATGAAGTACACATTCCCAATAGAAGCGAAGTTTAAAGATATAAACCTTGCACGCAATGTCTACAGGAAAGTAGTGGTGAGAAATAATTAAATATTATTATAAGATAACTGCTAGAATTTTTAGTACTTGAAACATATGTTCGGGTAATTATAGACTTAACTATCTTGCTTGCCTTGCCTTGCCTTGTCAGGCCTTCTTTCCTAATTAAATTTACAGTATCTTTGCGTATTTTACAGACCTTGTTGTTAAAATAGATCATTCAAGTGTGATAAAAATAATAAAAATGATACTGTGTGTTTTTTCTTCACCCTAATGGTATTTGGACTGATTGGTGGGACAGACAGTAGCATCATGGTTGGTGCATCAAACTGTGTGTTACTAGCAGACTGGTTTTGAGCCATGGCTGGGGTCACTGGGCAGTGCTCCTGGGTGAGACACGTTAAAACTCTCACAGTGCCTCTTTCCTCCTGAGTGTGCAGGAAATAGGAACTGTTGAATTTCACGCTGGAGGGTAATACAGCAATGGACAACATCCCATCCAACTGAGGAGGGTGTAGAAATACTCCCAGAGTGCTCAATGCTACAGATAGGCCTTTGTAATGCGTTTTTAAAAGTATCCGTTCTTGTCTCAACCAATAATGAAGCAAAACATTTTCGCCCACACTGGCATTTTTGTTTTGTTTTGTTTTCAGCGGTCCACACTATTGCATTTTCGTTCGCAAATGGATACTTTTTGATGTGTTTTTACCTGTTGTCCCCACTAAAATGCTTGAAAATGGTGATGGAAGGGACAATGTATGACACTATTTTCCTTCACCATTTTTAAGACCCTTTTTTCACCTGTTCACATTAGAAACAGAATGTTTTAATTTCTGAACAAATTCTGTGTTTTCAAATTAAAATGCTCTACTTTTGGAAACGTTTTTGAAATTCTCCATTTTTATCTGCACTTTCGTGTGTTTTAGTGTAGACGCTAGCCGAAAACACATCAAATCATTATGCGTTTTCAAATGAAAATGTATTGGTATGGTCAGGGCCTAGTCGAGACAAGGTCTGGTGGCATTATTGTACCACTTGGCCTGGCACAGGCGTACCTTACCTAGTTACTCAAATGTGATTTGTTTTTCGTCTCAGAGGAGATTACTGAAGAATGGTACAACAACAGCATCTTATTTTGCTACAAATCATTACAATGCTACTCTGGTTCTCTGTGATATTATTGGTGAGCTACTTTTGTTTGACATTAGTTTATTTGCTTAGTCATGTAGCATTAGCCGGTTTTGTTTGATTGATGGCACTTTTTGAGCTAGCATCATTGAAGCATATTGCAGAACAACTTGACCGTTTGTTTGCAAGATCTGAACGGTTCACAATACTGAATAAATTGTTCTAAATTTTCTGGGTGTGGTCCTGAGATGTCACACAAGGAAACCTTAGTTATACCAAATGGATATAATTATATTGTATTACAGTTGCTACATGGTGTGTGCTTAAATGCTTGATATTTACATTTGGGCGATTTTTTGTTAATTCTTCTGTAGTGGAACTTGGCCAGCGGGGATATGTAGGAATGCCAGATATTGATAGTAGCACCCACGATTATCATAAGTCAACTGAATGTTGCGGTGAAGAAACAGAAAGGTGGGTTAATTTTGTAGTTTTGTATAATCCGTTCAAGAATGATATTTGCAGTAAAGTGAAGGTATGTGAATAAATTTATTAATAAAAGTTGGACATTCAGACTCCCTTGCCCCTGCTTCACACACTCTCAAGTATATTAGGACCACAATGAGAACTACATGTACTGGTTTACTAGAAATTGTGTTATCTAATAAAGTCATTATCATTATCATTATCATTGTCATTGTCGTTATTATTATCATTATTATCATTATCATTATCATTCATTATTATTATTATTGTCATTATCATTATCATTATCATTATCATTATTATAATTAACCAGCTTAATGTTGATTTCCAAGAACTACAGACATGCCATGATATATTGGCCATTGAGATCTGTTGACTTGCTTAGAGATACCCCTAATTACCTCTAATTGCCACACTAGATGAATGAGCCAATTTAGTTGCATATGTTTCCTAAATGACTATTTTCTCTACCCTTTGTATTCTTCAGCCTATAAAATCCCTACTGTTTTATATGCCTGACTTGCCTGAAAAAGGCACGCTCTTTGGGGCATATAGCCTCCATGTATAGTCCATTGTGAGGAGTACACCCCTGGGATTAAAACTTGATCAATATGATGTTTGAAGAATTTATTTGACGTCTAAAGAATTTGTTTCGATTTTCAGGTTTATCAAGCATGTAATTGACATGAATGTAAGTGGAATAATGCAGTATGCAGTTCTCTTTTGTTACAAAAGTCTGTATACAGTGTACTTAGTACATTGAGATGGTTTCCAGAAATCCCAGTAGGGTGGGCAACAGGTAATCACTGGAAAGACAATATACTGTCCAGTGCACATGCATTCCAGTAAAGGTACAGAATTTTTAGTTCAATTAATTATCTGATGAAATATGCACTGTAGTTACAGTATAGCTAGAAATCTTGGGTGGAGTAGTCTGAGAACATTTTGGTTGTGTGGGACCCTGGTCCTTGCTTGGAATATTTGGCCCTGTTTCATTCCAAATACAGCATTTTCTATACTCTTTAAGCTTTTATGGCAGATTGCTGGTATTCTTCAAATGTATGCCATTGGTCTTTTTGTTAAAATGATTTGTCATCCTTTGTTCTCAGTTGACTCTGATTAGTTAGCTTTAATTTGTTCCAACTGGAGCAGTTGCTTATACACTGGATGCATGTGTGACATATAATACTTTTAGGGTTGTACCCAACTCTTCAAAGAGTCATTTATTTTAATATAATTGTCCGGAAATTATTTTTAGAATCCTCTTTTAACCCCTGTTGTTACTCCAAGGGGAATTGCTCGATGTAGTAAATCACTTCTGACTATTCATGGAGAGCTGGCAAAAAAGTATGATGTGCCTGTTCAGGTCAGTAAAGGTAAACTTATGTCTGTGCTATGACAATTATTGACGAGACGATGAATTAATGGAAATGTGGCGCACGAGACTTAGCCAAGTACAGTTGAGTTGACTGAGTTGACGCACCGGTATTTGAGCTTTAACTTGAATCAGTTCTGTTTATTAACTGATTGATTGATTTTAAAATTAAATAATTAATTGATTGGTTGGCTGATCGACTGATATCCTGAGAACATGTAATAAATACTTAAAATATAATTACCTATATTGCCTAATAGCTGGATTATTTATTTTCCGTTATTCCAATATACTTTGTAGGGCCACTTGCGTGAAATCGAGGATGAGTTTGGTGGTTTTAATTATGATGAGTTTGAATCTGGAACTTCAAATTTGGCCAAAATGTACGAGGAGTGTGGGGTCATGACAGACAAGGTAAATGATTGAATGTATTAAGTTATTGCACTGTGGGGTTATTTGCTTTTTTGCTACAGTTTGGAAAAGAAAGGTAGAAAAGGAAGGTAGAAAGGTAGAAAGAAAATGTGATTGTCCTTTCCAGATTGCTCTGAGGTTAAAAGGCTTTCAGGTTCTTTTGCTTTCAGAAACAAACAAGCTGATTTTTTTCTTGTCTTTTTATGATACTGCACACATGCAATTATGTCGCAGATGTTAAACTCATGATCAATCTTGCACAACTGACCGCCCAAAAGAAAAGACAATTTTGTGATTAAATTTTTTGTAGGTGAAGATTTCAGAGTTACATGTATACTCATGTACAATTTTTTTATTTTCAAAATAATTTGTGGTTTGACACAGATGAGATCAACAAAATGTCATACTGTTTACAGTGGAACCCCGGTTTAATGGTCTTTGGTCTAACAATATTCTCGGTATAACGATCAACATTCGTTTGCCCAGCAAAAGCCATAGTAGAATGTATGGGGCAGAATCTCTGTATAATGATCTTCAGTATAACGATATTCCCGGTTTGATGATGAGATTGTCGTTGACTGGTTGCAAAATATTTCAGGTTATAACGATAAAATCAAAAACATTGAAGTTCATTCCACAGAATTTTCTGTATTTTAGGTAATGAACACCTTATGAGCTGTACAAACTGTTTTTGACATGTTTTAAGGACAATGAAGAATACTCTGGATGTTGTAACTCTTTGATGATCAATTACAAATTTATTAGATAACGTTCAGTAAAAAGGCGATTATCAGCTTTATCCCAGTATAACGATATTTTTAGAAATTTTCCCACAATATCGTGATACCAGGAATTTGTTATCCCAGTTTAACGATATAATTTTAATGTTCCCTTGGCATATCGTTAAACTGGGGTTCCACTGTACAACCATTACCTATTGATCCTTGTGGACCAAAGGGGCACTTTAGGAAGTCCAAAGGAGCACAATGAAATTGGTTTCTACTGGGTCCAATTATTTACAGAATCTAAACCTCTTGAGTTTCACAGCTGTTGCCTCATGTAGACATAAGGGTTTAGCTTTGACAAGATTTAAGTGTCTGCTTCATTAATTTTAGACCTACTTTGCACACTGTGTTTATGTTAGTGAGGAAGAGATTGATGTGTTGCTGTCCCATGGAACAGGGGTATCTCACTGCCCTGCCTCAAATTTTGAGTAAGTTTCTACTATGAACTCTGACTGTTCAATGAATACATATCCATGATTTATTTTAATAATAATTAATAATTATAGTTATCTACCTGCACAGAATATTGTGCTTCAAATTGTGCAATAAATAT